CAGGGTACATGTGTCTGCTTGCTGTCGAGGACACTTAGCAGCATGCCAACAGGCTCGTCACACCCCAGTGGAAAACTGTGCAGGGTTACCCTGTTAGGAATGAGCCCGAGTTAGGAATAGATCATGAACCTCATCAGAACACAGGATGCAGTTTAAAACTGGCAGTCAGTCAAATGTACACGGTGGTTCTCTGCAGCCAGGTCACCAGAGAGCCAGCTGCTATATTTCCAGAAATGTTATGAGCTGATTGTTGGATACACCCACTGTCAAATATTAAATTATATAAACTCATGATTAAATAAGCTATACCAAAAATGACGGTAAGAAATACTCAAAACTCGATACCTCTGCATAAGATTAGTGTCTTTGATGATCACCCGTGCTCTTGACATTATTTATGTCTGTTGAGTCCTCTAACGGAAATAAGGTACAGTTGATGTAAAGGGACTATGCCTCTCATCCCGACTCCTTTTTGGAACTTCCTGGGGGCACAGTGTAAATATTTACACCATGGTAATCAGCAAACACTGAAAAATCAGTTTGCTGCCTCCCCAAGAGCCAGTTGTTCAACATTTACCAGCAGACCCCATACCCCCATACTGACACGAGGGGCATGGCGGCAGCATTCACAAAGGGATTGTGTTTTCAAATGAAACGTCTGTTATTCAAAGTTGAGCAAACTCTTTACAGCAGCTACACAGGCTCCTAGGTAACCAAGAAGTTTAATAAATCTGTACGAAGATAATTAAACACTGTAAATAATTTATCCGCTGAAGCTTCCTGCCTGGCCTGGTATGCCTTTGTAGAAAAGTGATCCGTGCTGACATTCTGAGTCAGGTGGCAAAACAGACGCAGCGAGGCGTGGCCGTGGAAAGTGGGTTTGCTCTCAGTAAAACACGAAGCCCCATGCTGAGCAGAGGGATCCTCAGGAAGGGGCTCCACGGCAATCTGTTCTCTCATCTGGAGGCGGCAGCGCAGCGAAGGTGCGACCCGCATCAGAAGCGCAACTGCTCATGTGTGAGCAGATGTCCTGCACGCGGTGGGCAGCGAGCGCTCTGTCAACCCAGCTCAACAAATGCACGCTGCAAGAGAGGGCCCCTCCCCATTACCGGAAGAACACAGTATACGGTAATTTAGCAGGTTGTTGGATGACGTTTGAATGAGGGATTTATGAAGTAGAAAAATGATGCAATGGGGCAAAATGATTCTCCAACTAAATGGAAAGAAGGAAGGGGGTTCTGCGCCCAGAGAAGATGATTGGGAAGAACCTGACAGATGCCACCCCCCGGGAGAAACCCAAGCAAGGCTACTCAAGGAGCCACAAAGGGCCCGTGAAAAGCCATCAGGTGACATCCATGACCTAAACGATCGGTTTTAACTAAAACGTCATTTGAGTACAAACGCCTGTAGCCAGGGGAGATTGTGGGTATGTGGGGATAGGTACATGGGATCTCTCTGCACTGGCTGCTCAAAATTTTGCAATGGGCCTGAAAGCACTCTCAAGTGATTTAAATACTTTTTCAAGTGAACGTAGCCCTAAGGCCTATATTCAGTTGTACCACCTCCTCTCTGCTCGGGACTCCACATGGCAAGTGGTTCAACAATCGTGCCAGCACTTGTTTGGTGGGCACACCATGTTCCCAGACAGCCACACGAGGCTGAATTCTGCCCGTCTGCACCGGGTCTGTTGGTCTCACCACTGGGCAGAGCCGAGGGTCTCGCCAGGTGCCCAAGCTCTGGGGTGTGAGGGTGTGTGCTGGAAACCCAGTGGAAAGCCCCCCCAGCATTCACTGTAAATTCTTCAGCCCCCCAGCTGCTAGAGAAATGGAGGCAAAGGCTTTGTCTCTTCAAATTCTCCTCCCCCTGCCTGCAACCGTCTTCAAAAATGGAAATGCCAGAACAAAGCTTCAGGAAACTCAATCACTTCCTCGAGGTTGACCCATTTCGGGTCTCCTTCACCTAAGAAAAGTACAAGTAGCAACCTGCTTAGTGAGCCTAAAATCCACTCAACTTCCATACAATTACTGTTGTTCTCCACTTTGATAATTATTAAATTGTAATGTAAAACCCAACTTCTGCTTAAGTATGCGTGATTATTAGACTACAAGTCAATTGTGGATAACACGCAGATATAAATGCAGCTAATAAGTCTTACTGTAATGATTAATCAATTTATGAATACATTATTTAAACTAATAGCTCAGGTAGGGTATCTTAAACAAGTTACAGAGTACATCGACCAATTCAAATACCAGCTGCCGGATCAATAGCAAACTGTAAGTAAACTCCGGGGAATAGGTATACTTGAAAAAAAAATCTTTGAACAAAAGGGTCTTAGATGAAGGAAATCTACAACCATTTCCATATTTAAGACGAATGTAGAGTGATTTAATATATGCCAAAGCTTAAAGGGAAAGGTTTTTAAAAAAACAGTGTGTTACTGCAAATTTTGCTCCTTTTTAATTCTATACAATAACAAAAGTAAGGGTAGCTTACTTATTTGTTTGTTTATACAAACTTTTGCATATAGACCATGTATTGAAGTTAATTTTGATTTCTTAAAAAATTACACATCGGGCTTGTTTCACTGCAAGGTAGCATATGTATCTATTTATACACTTCCTTTTAACAGGAAAAAAAAGTCTATCTAAAAGGTAAGATTAATAATTTTCCTGAAAGGGGCCCATATTCCAGTAGAGACACCAGTGTACACCTGTCTGTCAGAGCCACAGAGGACTCCCCCACTGCGGACCACCACGGAGTGGGGGTGGGAGGTATGAGCAAAGCAAACCCTCAAATTTTAGCTCTTTCCCTTCCCAGTTTTATTTTTTAATTAAGGCTAATTAATATGAGTTTGATAAATAATCCAAAGGGCTTTAATTTCCAAAGGTGTGATATCCTATCATAGCTTCAAGTGATGCTGCATTTTAAAAAATTAATTAGTATCTTGTGAGATGGGCCACACGTTATTGAGTAAGTAACAGCAGCTAAGTGAAACGGATGAAATATTGGTAAGCGATGCAGCCCACAGTATAAGTATGTGAAGGAGGTCAGAGGTTAATCCCTATTGATTTTCTGAGTCTGCGTACAGCACCTCTGGGAAAGGCCGGTTCTGTCGGCAATCAGCTAGCACAAATACATTATAAATCTTACTGTCCACCTTCACTGATCTGTGTCACTTACTTCCTTCACTAAAGACCATTAAGAAACTACTGAAAAAAAAAAAAACATCTACCACGATGCCGTAGAAAGAAAGCATTTTAAAAGTCTCCCTGTAGCGAATGCTCCAGGGACAGAGGCCTTCCCTGAAAGACGACGGGCCCTGCCTGGGAGCGGGTCTCTCATACAGAAGGCGACACACGTGAACATGGGGTACTGTTCAAATGGCTTCCACGCCGAGTCACAAAGGTAAAAGGAGCTTCCTCACGTGAGTTCATGAAAACAACAGAAGAAAACGAAGGAGTCTAACACACTCACTCACCCTGAGAGTGGCATCTCCAGCTTGGTTTTGTGGAATTCGGCCTTGGCACAGCCTAGAAGCCAAGGAAGGCTAGGCTGCAGTGCCCTTCACATCCAAGATTCTGCACCAGATGTTTTACCTAAAGTGAGTCTCCAGCATGTATATAAACTTCAGTCCCCACCAACTTGGATGCCCACCTCCAACCCACTTCCAGGAATATCCACGAACAAACATTGCTCTTCACACCTTTCTCTTAACAGCTTGTGCCCTTATATCCTCATGCACCTGGCACTCCTGCTAGGTACAGCAGAACAGGTAAGATAGGGCCCCTCTCCTCATTAAAATGAAACACATGCTCCTCATCATACTATCTACTGTCACACAACATGGTCCTGGGAACCAGTCTTGGTGCTAGTGAGCACCCTACCATTGATGAGCTGTGTGACATTCAGTCAATTACTCAGCCTTGGAGCCTCAGTTTCTTCACCATTACAAACGAGAACAATAGCTGTAGCCACTTCATAGTGTGGTTAGATATTAGAAATCACATGTAAATCACTTAGTAGAAGGCCCAGTGTCAAAAATCTTGATTTATTTTTTAAAAATTGTGGTGTTTATTTGACAGTGGAAAAAACAAGAGACCAATTTTATCCTATTTCACTAATTGGGATTATAGAATTATGACACAAAAGATATGGAGCCAGATATCTGATCTACCTTTCCATCTGAATAGATGTATCATAACCATGTATTTCTCAACGCAGGTGGGACTATAACAAGCAGGTTCAAAGTTGTTATTCTTCGGACACAATTTTTTTAAAGCCTCCAAAAAGCATATTTCTGCTCTAATACTAAAATAATTTGCCTCAGCTTTACCAAAATGAAGCTTTGTTTTCATATGTGTCAGCATTAACCTGAAGCTAATCATTTCCTTTGGGTGTTGGCAAAAAATGCTTTATTTTCAGGATAAGTTAATAATATCAAAAACAACACTATTATGCTCTGTCACCCACCGAAACACTCTGGAATGAGGAAAGAAACTTCAGATGGTTAACTGACCTTGCACCCTTTAACTGTCAAATGGATTCCATAATGGCAACTCAGAAATCCAATTCCATAATCCTGAGAAACTCCGTCTGCTCCAAATCCCTCCCTGATATTCTCTAAAAGGTTCAAGAAACAGCTATTATAACATTGGCATTTAGCTCTAAAAAAAAAAAGGATATCAAAGCCAAATATATCAGAAATGAAGATGTTGGTTGCTCAGCATTCACCAAGGATACACAAAGAGTTCACCTTTGGGCAAGCCAAGTTTCCCTTTCTGCACGGAAATTATGTATTTTAAAGTGCCAGCACCAGAAAGACGAATAGAAAAGGTTCATAGACACAAGTTATTTCTAGTTTTCCTAAACACTCTCCTATCACCTCCACAATGCGTACACACACACACACACACACACACACTGCCCTGCACAAAAGATTTGGCATGCTTGAAAAAGTTCTGGAGAATATGGCTAGAATGTGGGAAAAAACCTGTATCTTCCCAATTTTTCAGAATTTTATTAACTAGGTTCAGTGCAATTATGTGCTGATAGAAGGATATATTTGAAAAAAATTTAAATATTTTCAAACAAAGAATTGAAGGTGGGGACAGCCTTCCCACAGGTAATGATAAACAAAGGCATATGGGGCCCAGGTCCCCTCAAAGTTCAGTCTCCCCAGCATGACTCTGTTTCAATCAATGGCTTTTATTTTCCTTACAAAATCCTTTTCATGTCCTGATTTTCAACTCTTCAGAAAGGATGTTCTTCTAAGTAGGCAGGAGACACATAGAGCAGGGCCCGAATGAACAGTGATAATCCAGGCAGGCAGAAGCCACAGATTCTTTTTAAAACTCTAGAGGCTCCAGACTTTTCATTGTGCACCTTTTATCAGGGAAATTCAAGGCAGATGCCACAATATACATCTCATGTATTTATAAGTTAGAAACTGGTATCATTCTGTTGGCTACCACTTCAAGGCATGGCACAGGGTGAAAAACAGTGCATGCACTTGCACATCTCCTTTTGCTGATGTAGACTTGTGTTTCTGTGACTGACTTCCAAGATCTGATGCCACTGTCACTGTATTTACCTTGCGACAGCTGAGGGGTTCGTGTCAGGAGCAGCTGATGTACCAATCCTGCCACTTGCTCACAGCTTGCTTGGGCGCGCACTCTAAGTATTATCTTTAAATGCTGGTCTCTTTGCGGACATCTCCTTAAGCCTCGTGCTCATGTTGTAAGGGATGCTTTCGTTCAAAACAGATAATCCAATGTCTTGCTGCATTTAACACAGCACACCTGGGAAACCGCAGTGTGTTTCCTAACGCTGGAAGTCCACAAAGAGCAGAGGCCCCACCGGGAACCCTCTCCTTGGGGAAACGTCCGGCCTTACTTCAGAATGCCTTGCACGTCACACAGGGCTCCTGAGTCCCAGGACTGGAGAGGGCACCTATTGCAATGCATCTGCATACTTGTAAAGATCCATGCTCCTTAATTGAGGGCCAATGTCATGCAGCATTAAGAGCGAAGACCCTGGAGCCAGACCACCTGAGTTGGAATCCCAGCTGGCCAACTCCGTATTCAGCGTGCCTGTGTCCTCGGCTGAAAATAGGGACAGTAACAGTGCTGCTTCACAGGATATTTGAAATGATGATGTCTGTAAACATATGTAAAGTGCTTAAAACAGTAGTACATGCCCACTAAGTGCATCAAAATTTAATAACAAATGGAAAAGGTCCATGGATAAATAAAAGTTGTAGTGTTTTCTTTTGGAACCCCAATGGGTCAACTGTCACACTTTGGAGACTTCTGCCTTAGAGCAGCGCTATCCTAATAGGACGCTCCTCTGTGATAGAAATATTCTCTGCAGCACTACCCATGTGGTAGCCATGGCCCAGAGTGGGCTACTCAATAGTTGAATATGGCTAGTGCGACTGAGCAACTGAATTTTTTATTTTACGTAATTAACTTTAATTAGAGCAGCCATATGTGACTAGTGGCCATCATGTTGGACAATGAAGCTCCGGAAGGTTGATAATTTCTGATACTCTCTAAGACGGAGCTCAGTTCTTTAATCCATCAGTTTGCCCAGTAAAGCATGGCTGCTTAGATGAGATCAAGCAAGCCTGTTTCTGAGCCCTGAAGCCAAGAGAAGCATCACTTCTAGCCTCTCAGTTCTCTTGCATCTAAGATGCTCTATTGCCATTGGCTGTACTGTCCTCAGGAAGAGGCGGTGACTCGGGCCACTATCGGGTCGGCATTACTGGAGGTCTCTAATTTGCGCTGGCTGGGCTTTTCCTAGCTCAGCTTGGGTTTTATTCTTGGTTTGGGTCTTGAATCTTGGCTCAAGGACCTCTGAATCCTGCCTGTGACCACTGTCCAGGTTCCCAGGCCAGATACTTACACCACTTTATTTGATGCCTTGACCTCTGTTCTCAACTTGCAGATGATTGCCCACATTCCACAGATGGACCTCTGTGTTGACCCTCCTGTGACAACGGCCGGACGATTCTCTGGGGGAAACCAGACCAATGCCAATCTCTTCTAGGGAAAGAGATGTATCTTGCGTTCATTTTCACTCGGTCGGGGGAGGGAGGGAGGGACAGATGGACGGACAGAGCTATGTAGTGCTGAACTGTATGTTAATGCAAATAGAGAGAAGGGAAACACTTCAGATATTTTGCCCTTCTTACCAAGATGTTTTTTCATTTCTTTTCTGAACACTCTTACCTTATAGGAAACAAACAGGGCATTGCTTAATCCTATTAAGTTTTAGGAAGACTGGATATCCAAGTTTGTGACTCCCACAGCCATGGAACAATGCTTCACCCATCATAACAGGCTAGTGACTTCTACAGAATGACAAAATGGAAGGGAAAAAGGCCATGACAGAGACATCAACATCAAACGGAACACTGGAAATAAGTTAATGAAATTACATTACAGATTCAGCTTACTCAGAAAGGACTTGTCCAAGGGAAGGAAAGGAGGTGGTGGGGGTGGGAGGGAACCTCACCCCCAGAACCAGCTGTCTAGTTTGAACTGCTGGATTGCTGAGCACACACTGTCTGCATATTCATAGGTACCACAGGAAATTAAGCACCTCTGCAACGGCAATAAAACTGTCTCCTGCCAGTGAGTGCGGTGAACCGGGGACTCAGCAGCCCCCTCGTGGTCTGGAAGAATTAATGCAGCTCCCAGAGGTGTGACAGTTCTGGAGGTGGAGGGGGCCCTTTGAGAGGAGGGGGATAGATCAGAACCATTGGTAAAGTCGTCAGATTTGGCCCTGGTTCATACAGGGAGGGCGATGCATCATTATCAACACTTTTTCCTTCCAAAGTCCGCCAAGGAACCCCGGTGCACGCGCCAGTGCAAAGTAGCACGCGCATAAAGAAGCAGCAGATCAAATGAGCTCAGTATTTCCATTTAAAAATATCATTTAAAGGAATTTTAAGCTGCCTGAGAAGATGGATACACTGTGTTTGTTTCCTACATTAATGAGCTATAAAAAGAATGGAATAGGCCATAAATACAGTATTTTGTAACAGCCTTTACTAAAAATGCTACTACTTGTGTTTATCATTTATATCCTTGTATACAACCTCAAAATTGATTACACTTTAAACCATACAGAGCTTGCTGTGTTTTTCATTTTGTGCAATACTACAAACATTTTTATAACACAGTTAATATATTCCATATTTTGTGTTCTTATTGATTATGAATATTTCTTTAGGGGATTTTATTGCTTTTAAAATAACAAATGTTAGGTATTAAAAAATAGAAAAACCTATTGCCGCTCTTATATTTTTCTTTCCCTTGGTAATTCTAATACATACATTTTAGCACGAACATACCCAGAACATCTTTCTCTATATCTTTTATACTTCCTCACACTAAAATCAAAGAACTACTAACATAGTGCATAGTAAAAGAACCAGATTTTTCAAAGGAAACCCATCATTTTATGTGTTAGACTTCAATTCATAATCCTTTCCTTCCACAATTAAAAAATTAAAGTGCCAAAAGATTATCCGCACGTAACATGATGCTTTTACATCAAGTATATATTATCTTTTCTAATTGCCATTTCAGTTTATAGGCTAAAATATGATTTATATATATGATATGATTTCACTATCAATTATCAAACTGAAAAAAATAAAATCTGACATTATAAATTCTCTCCTGGAAATTAGTTTTATTATTTTTTCCATAATCCTATCACATAAGCTATAAGTGCATTGTGGCATAACACTTTAATTTTTCCAGTTAGTTTTAAGCAAGCCCAGAGGTGAGGTTTAATAAGGATCAACGGCACTTTATCTGGGACAGGGCCTCTTCACAGCATGCAAATTACACAGTAACACTTAAAAAAAGAAATAGATTTAATTAAAAAAAAAGTAGAACCGCAGGCTCTGGAAATTCAATTAAAGGATTTATGCAAAGGTTTGCTAGGTTTTTATATGCAGTTACTGCTTACATAATGAGCTTTTCATATTAAAAATCAATAGGTAATCTAGACTAGAAGATCATCCCCTTAAATACATTTTTGAAATCAATTTGAAAAATAGTCCATCAACTGCTGTGACTACTCTTGCTTCTTCGATTACACTAAAAGCAATATTTAGATTGTAAGACGTGTCATGGAATATCTATGCTTGGATATAGCTTTCAAGAGCTCTTACACTTTTGAGTGCCTAAGATGACCACCTAGTAATTCAAGATTGCGTTAAATGTATAAATAATTTATTTAATTACCAGCAAAAGTCTACAGATACAACCCCATCGTATTTATTATGGTTAAATGACAGGAGAAAAAGGAAGGAAGAAGGAACTGACGGAGGAAAGGAGGGAGAGAGGAGGAGAGAGGGAGAGACAAGGTGGAAGCGTACAGAACAACCTCTTTAAATGAGTCTCCGCTCTCTCAATCGCCCATTGTGTTGGCTACTTAGCACTTGGAGAGAGGCGGTTCACTTTAAAACTCATTCAGGGCTTCCACTGAGGAAGCGATTAGCTAGCTCTAACTTAAGCGGACTTTGAATAGTCCGTGGTAATGGGGCACAGGTCTTGAAAGGAAAACGAATGCCTGTGTTCTGATTCTGTCCCGTAAGCTCACCATCTGCCTCCCGGCCGAGACTGGCCTGGATTTGGGAAAATGACAACACTACACAGGTTTCCGTGCGCCATTCCTGACGGACTGGCAGATGGTCATCACCCAGAGAGAAACGCGGGGAGGACTGGAGGAAAGGAGGAACCCAGAGAGGTCCACATCTGAACTCCGCCCGTGTGTATTATAGATCAGTAAGAGACACGTTCTTGAATACCTCTTTTTCTTACTTTTATTTAAAAGGTTCTTATCTCTAAAAGGTGCAGTGAGCACTCTGTGCCCATCAAAATGAAAACCACGGCTCAGGTTATCTTCAAATGCATCCTTGTAAAACCAGACCTCAGCTTTATAAAGGACTCATGTATAACAAAGCAAGTCCTGAGCTCTTCTGGAAAACTCCAAGAAGAAAGAAGAAAAATATTTACAAAACAAACTTATGCATCTACCAAAAGCTCCTAACTCAAGAATGACCATGCTTCAAGAAGGTGCTGATGCAGCGCATTTAGGCAAAGGAGAGCCCAAAACACTACAAGGAAGACGTGCCCCCCAGTGCCCAGCATGGAGAAGATGAAGACGAGGAGGATGAGGTGAAGCAGCAGCTTCTGACATCTGAGATCCTGGTGGTGTTCGCATCATGTTTCTGAAAGGACAGTTCTGCACTTGATCCTACCATAAGCTGGCCTTTCTTCGGAAAGTGCCTACAGCTGTGCTGAGGGAGATTTGGGGGCCTGAGCAGGCAGCATTAGTCTTCACGTTAACAAACATACATTTACGGACGCAGCCGGCACTTGCAGAACTGCTCGACGGGGTAGGCGCTGCCAGCTCCCACAGTGGTTACAAATACGAATCCAATTGACTTTGCATGCTTAAAATAGGCTACAAATTTCTGTACATACACTTATTCTTTTTTTTTAAGTTTAGAGGAAAGAAATAACAAGAGACTGAAAAATAAGACATAGTACCTTGAAAACATTATGTTAAGTGAAAGAAGCCAATCACAAAAGACCATGTATTGCATGATCCCACTTATATGAAATGTCCAGGAAAGACAAAACTATGGAGACAGAAAGTAGATTCGTGGTTGCCTAAGGCTGGCAGGGGGAGTGGGAGTATGGCAGATGACAGCCACGGGGTGCAGGCTTTCTTTTCAGGGTAATAAAAATGCCCTAAAAACAGTTCCATGCATATACTAGGGGCCATTAGGGTGTACACTTTAAATGAGTGAGCCGGACGATATGTGAATTATATCTCAATAAAGCTGTAATAATAAAAAAACAAGGTGCAGTTATAACTGTAGTCTGAATAGTAGAAGCTTTAAGGAAAAGCAAAGAAAATCTGAAAAGGATGGGACCAAATTTAACAAAAAAATCTTTATTTTCTACCCACACCAATCTGGCAAATAAAATATTGAAGCTTTCTCCATCTCTACACAATTCTTTCTCTGAGGATCAGTTTACAGAATGCATCAGGATAGAATTTACAAACATACTATTTTGATTTCCTATAGAACACCAATCTGGCAAATAAAATATTGAAGCTTTCTCCATCTCTACACAATTCTTTCTCTGAGGATCAGTTTACAGAATGCATCAGGATAGAATTTACAAACATACTATTTTGGTTTCCTATAGAAAAGTACTAAAACCAAAATAGGCAGAACCTTCCCATCACAGGAAATGAGAGCTTCAGTGCAAAATGTTCCAGGTTAGTATGATCAAAATGTCAAATATGAAACCGTTTGTAACAATGTGTGAGGTGTTAGTAATGGAAGTTTGAACAATGTTAACATGTAAAATTTCAGCAGAACCATTTCAATCCATAAATGTATAAAAGTCATTTTACAGTGTGCTTACCAGTCAAGCCCAAGAGCTGTTGTAAAGATACCCTCAATGTCACTTCATTTTCTTTTATTCTTATTATCACATTTAAATTTCTCTGTAAAAGTGGTCTTGATAGGTAATTTTATTACACATTTCAAGACTGTTCATTCTGAACAGAACTTCCTCCAAGGAATTAGCAGATAAAGAGAGACCACTTTCCCCTCATCATCCCTAAATTACGTGTAACTACAAAACGGGAATGACAGTGTGCATGTGACAAGGACTTGGCCTGCTATGCCACACGATAGCTCAATAATCTTAGAGGTGACTCTTTTTGGCCTGCAGAGAACTGCTAATTGGCTGTAACACCTTACAATCTGGTTTGCAAAGACCTGGGAATAAAGAGTAAGGTAGACAGGGAAAGTCAGGACTGGGGCTTGTTGGAGAAAGAATTCCCAAAAGCAGCCATGAGAGCCACACCAGCATTTAAGACAAGAACACATCCTAAGTTCTCATTTCACTTGGAGTAGGTGGGCAAAATAGCTCCTTAATTGCATCTGCTTATAGGTAAGTACATCACTTGCACTAGGTGTTGGCAAACTTGCCTGTAAACGGATAGTTAGTAAATATTTTCAGCTTTGCAGATCGTATCTTATCTGTAGCCACT